TTCTTCAGCTTCTCAGATTCTTTATCCATACATCTGATGTTGCTCTTGTAGTAATATAAATACCCAATCCCTCGCACAACTGGCTGCATCAAGCAATCTGTGACTTTTTCCACAAAAATAGTTAAGAATTCCATCGCCAGTATAGTTTAGTAATATGCCTTTTTTCAACTATCAATATTGTTTTTTTTTTTTTTGTTTGCTTTCTAATTCTCTCTGGGAAGTAAAGGTGTGAAAATGGTGGAGATGGATAATTTGGTATGAAAAATGAAATATGAGAGAGTGGAATTGGAGAATTTGGTATGAAAAATGAAAGGTAGAAGAGCAGCAATGTAGAATTTGGTATGAAAATGAAATATGAGAGAGTGGAAATGGAGAATTTGGTATGAAAATCAAAGACTAGCAATGTGAGAGAATTTGGTATGAAAATCAAAGACTAGCAATGTGAGAGAATTTGGTATGAAAATCAAAGACTAGCAATGTGAGAGAATTTGGTATGAAAATCAAAGACTAGCAATGTGAGAGAATTTGGTATGAAAATCAAAGACTAGCAATGTGAGAGAATTTGGTATGAAAATCAAAGACTAGCAATGTGAGAGAATTTGGTATGAAAATCAAAGACTAGCAATGTGAGAGAATTTGGTATGAAAATCAAAGAGTAGCAATGTTGGAGAATTTGGTATGAAAATGAATGCTTAAGAGAGGCAATGGAGAGTTTGATTGTGTTATTTGAAGCAACAAATTCACAGAGATATATAAGCTGTCAAAACAATATCTTTAAAGTGATAGTATTGATTAGCTAACATATTAAAGTAGTGAACATCTGATTCCATATCTTCCTTCACTAAAACTCATGTTACGACTTTCCCAAAATATATGCTTTCTTGCAATTGCAGACACTATAAAGAAGAAAAAGAGGAAAAGTAATTGTTGCTTTTTGGAATTTTCCACTTGCTTGCCAAGTACTCAAAGATCAGTCCAGACATTCCCTCCAACTTTTAACAAAGTATTTCCCTTCCAGTTTCACACAAATGACGTCTTGATGTGTTTTTAGAATTATTTCTGCTACAACCAAATGGCGCCATAAAGAAATTGAAAATACATCTACAGATTAGATGTCAAATCTATATATATATATATACTACCTTAAAAGCATGAACTCCCTAACTTGAATATTAAATTACTACAATACCCCAACTTAAAATACTAAATTTAGTATATATTCTATATTTCATATTTTATTTATTTATTTATTCTATATTATATTAAAACCTGACATTGATGGGTAGTGACTTTTTCAAAAAATTATGACATTTCTAACAACTTGTGATTTTTCTTAAAGTTCTGACTTACTTGATAAGGCACGATAAGTACCTTTTCATACTAACCTTTGTTATCTATAAATAGAGAGGTTTCTTCCACTTTAAAACTACAAAATTTGTAAGTTTTCTATTTTTCTACTTAAAATAAGCAAGATTGTGAGAGTTGTTCAGTTATGTAATTACAATATTTTTTGTGGTTAAATTAGATAGATCAACAAAATTGATGCAACAAGGAAAAAGGAAAAACTCAACTCCAAATGAGAAGACTGTCTAGGTAATTAATATGTACTGACTTTCATAGTCATAAATATACTTTTGCAGCAACTTCTACTTGACAAGGAAGGAGTTCAATGAATTTTGTATTGCAAAAACTACAACTTGGTGTTCTAGCTGTGAAAAGTCAGAAATTGTTGGAGAAAAAAGATTAGATCAAAAACTTGTTTGAAGAGTCCAAACTAGATTTAACAAGTAGTCCCATGTTTCCAATTTATTTGTTCTACTTTTATTTTTATTCAGTTCAATATAGAATGTTCTTTTTTCTTGGGGGTAGAAAAACATCTTTAATACCTCAAAGTTAAAAAACTTTTTTATATATTCTACATAACCTTAAATTAAAAGTCTTCTTTAATTTTTAAAATTTCATATCAAATTAAAATTTAACAAATCTATATCTATATTTTTTTACCTATATCTATACTACCTTAAAAGAATGAACTACCTAACTTAAATGTTAAACTATTATAATACCCCCAACTTAAAACATCAAATTTAGTATATCTTCTATATTTTATATTGTATTGTCTTTATATTATATTATAGTATATTATATTATATTAAAAGAAGACACATTTTTACATTGAAGGATTGTGACATTTTCTAAGAGTTATAACTTTTTCGATGAGTTGTGACCTTTATGAAGGGTTGTGACTTTTCTACAGGTAAGAGATATTAAGAGTGACTAACTTTCAGAAGTAATCATAAGAAAGTTTACATCCACTATTATAGGAACTTATACTTTATCATTCATTTTATAATTTTTTACTTATTTTTTTTCTTTAATAATGTTCACATAATTTTTAAAAATAGTGTAGTACATGATTTGATATTCACGTGCAACGCATATATATATATATATATAGATAGAACTAAAAGTTGGAACAAAAAAGGTTGAAAGTTGAAATACCATTTTGCCCCTACACTAAATTAAAATATTATAAATATTTAGTTAAGAACATGTTTAAATATTAGTGATAATCAATTATTTCATCAAGTAAATGGGGAGTTCATGTGTTCAAAGGATTGTTTACTCTTCCAGATTTTAATGGAGCTAGGTTCATTGCATATATTTAATATTCTTAAAGTTGTTCTCTTTTATCAATTTTGTACCCTTTGAAACTGTCAAATATTAATTTAAACTTTAAGATGTCTTTTGGTATTCCTCTATTTTTTATTCTATATAAATTCATCTCTTTTGTTTCATGAAACTCACATCCAAAATTATCCTTTTCATTTTATAGTTAATGTAGTAAAGTCATCAACATCTAAAGTATATATGATATATCTACTTTAGTTTGATTATATATCACTTAACGAAAATAAAGTGATTTTTCTATTTGATTCATGCTTTAGTTTGACTCAATGGAGAAGACTTTTGAATTTTGATTGGATATAAGAGAAGGTGTTGACAGAAACTTGGAAAATTATGTATCAATTTTGTATTTCTTTTTTATTTATATAATGTTATGATTAAAGTCTTAAGAAGGATGCATATGTTATTTTTTTCTTCAAAATTATTATCATAACATTTATTTGAGATTGTTGCATTTTAGTACTCATTACACGCATGTTTTCATTGAATTTTAATCGTCCTAACGAGTTTATATAATATTGCATGAGACACACGTGCAACACACATGTCCAAAAACTAGTATAAGTAAAAATCTGGATCCTTCCCTTCCTCCCTCTAATTCCTCCTTCAGTATCTTGTCTTGATAATATTTATGAACCTACACTTTATATTATGAAGGAAAGTATGATCTTGGTTATTATTCTCCTTAGTTCGAAATGTTCAAACACATTTTTACAAAAGGAACTTGCATTATTCTGGAGTCTAACTCCTCACCGCTGTTACTAAGGTATACCTTCAATTTCAACTGCAGGATAGGAAAAAACAGCATAATATGTCAAAGTTCAATCACATCCAGTGCAATTTTCTTAGATTCACTGCTCAGAAAGTAATGTGACTTCGGATTCTACTTCACCGCGTTACACCTGCGACATCTACAGTACGGGTATAAACACTACTTAACCAAGCCTCAACAATGGGTGGAAATGACTAGTAAGTTTCTCTGGGCAGCCTCCACTCCTGGCTGCACCCCACTTCTGAGATTCATTATCCAAAGCTTTTATGTTGCTCTCGTAGTAAAAGAAATACCCAATCCCTTGCATAACTTGTGGGATGTTATGATACGAAAATATAAGCTTATAGAGTTATTTATCTTTTTCTACTCACAAAACTTGTAACATTTTCCAAGTGAAATGCTACGACTTGATGTTCTCCAACGAGTACATCTCTGTATAGACTTTCACTGCTCAATGATTTGCAGAATACATAATACGTCCTTGAAATAGTTGGACAATGACCAAACTTAATCCTAAACAAATGAAAAAGCAGTCAGATTCCAAGCAAACGAGTAATAACCAATCTAGGCAATCTTTTCTTTTCATAAGAACTGATCCATGGTTTTGTGATTCTACATATAAGGGGTATCTTGTTCTTGCCAACCAAGACCACAATAGTCTGCAAAGACAAATACTCATTGCATCAAGAAAACTCGAAATATATGACATCCTCTCAACTCAACTTTTACTCTCCTTGCATCAGGAAAAAAAAAGACAATTTAAAATCTCAAAGCAAATCAAACCATATAAAGGAAGTCATGACAAGGTAAAAAAAATAAAAAATCCTGAGGTGGATTATTGTGCACCAAAATTACAAGTTCTCAAACTTCC